ATTTTTTAATTATAAATTAATATACAAAAAATATTATAATCACTTAATGTTATTAAAGGTAAAAAAACAAAACTGAAATTTATTAGATAATTATTAATTAAAAAATGTGATCATAAATTAAAAAATTAAAATTGATAAATTTGTCAATAAAGTTAAAAAATTCTAATCCACTAGCGGTTTGATACAAAAAATTACAAAAACTAGCTTTTTCAATCCGCTAGCGATTTGGACCCTAACCGCTATCCGTTAATTTCAAACCGCTAAATAAAAATTTTACTAAACATTTTAGTTGTAGCGGTTTCAAAATATATAAATTTACCAAACACCTATATTTAGCGATTTAGGTAAAACCGCTAATCGCTACCCCAAAACCACTATACTAAACGGGGCCTTAATAGAGCAAAATTTTCTCTTTGGATAATTAAATATTTTCATCTCATTAAATTATTGTTTTAGATAGTACTCTCTTGATATTTTTACTCCTTTGTCTGTTTTTTATTAAAATTTTATTTTAGAATAATAATTTTTTAGTAATTAAAGAAATAAATATTTTTTCATTTATTTTTATTATTATCTTTTAATTTTAGTTATCCATTTTATCCTAGTTTATTTTTATTTTTAAGAGTGTTATAGGTAATAACATAAATTATTCATAAATCTTCAATATGAACATAAAATAAAAAAATATTTATTACTCTCTCTAATTTGATTTAATTGTTATATTTTTTAAATAAAGATCGCCTAATTTAGTTGTCTCACTTCTCATTTCATTTTTTTTTTTTAGAAAGAATAGGCAATAGAGTCTCACTCCTCATTTCAATAAAATATTAAATTTTAATTTTAAATTTACCCTTATCTCATACTCTTTCTATCTTAAAATAACTATTATTTTTTTATTTTTTCTAAATTAAAGATTTAGAGATCATTTATATATTTATTTATATTAACTTTAGGAAAAATACTAAAACATAAAATAAGACTTTTTGTGATAAGATAATTAATTAAAATAAATTGATAATGATAAGGTTAAAGTAAAAAAAATATTTATTTACTTTAAAAATAAAAAAATGATAATTAATTTAGGATAAACTTAAAGTAAAAAACTATAATTATTTTGAAATAGGGGTAGTAAAAGATAGAAATGCTTTAAGATTTTTTTTTCATT